GGTGGTAATGGTGGTGGTGGTGGTGGCAGAAGCCACCTAGTGAGTGTGGGTGGTGGTGGTAGGGTGAAAAGCACCTAGTGAGTGTGTGTGTGTGTGGTGGTAGGTGCCACTCAGTGAGTGTGTGTGGTGGTGGTGGTGGTATAAAGCACTCTAGTGAGTGTGGGTGGTAGTGGTGGTGGTGGTGGTGGCATGAGTAGTGCCACCTAGTGAGTGTGTGTGTGTGGAAGGTGGTGTGGTGGTGGTAGGGTAGTGCCACCTAGTGAGTGTGTGTGAAGTGGTGGTGGTGGTAGGGGTAGTGCCACCCAGTGAGTGTGTGTGGAAGTGGTGGTGGTGGTAGGGTAGTGCCACCCAGTGAGTGTGGGTGGTAGTGGTGGTGGTGGTGGTACGGTGCCACCCCTAGTGAGTGTGGGTGGTGGTGGTGGTAGGGTAGTGCTGCCACCTAGTGAGTGTGTGTGGCGGTGGTGGTGGTAGGGGTAGTGCCACTGAGTGAGGGGTGGTAGTGGTGGTGGTGTTGCAGGGGTAGTGCCACCTATGAGTGTGTGTGGTAGCGGTGGTGGTGGTGGTAGGGGTAGTGCCACCTAGTGAGTGTGTGTGGTAGCGGTGGTGGTGGTGGTAGGGGTAGTGCCACCTAGTGACTGTGGGTGGTAGTGGTAGTAGTAGTGTGGGTAGTAGTAATAATAAATAATAATAATAATTAACGGTTTATTGAAAGAGCTTGGCAGCCAGAAGGCTGAAAATATACAGTTACATATTTGAGGAATGGGTTTCGAATTACAAATAATATAAAAGTAACATAAGTGATACAAATAAGATATATAATAACTAGATGGGGAAAAGCTCAAACTACAGTTCATTTCAACATAGTGACAGTGCAAGGAGTAGTGTTTACTGGGAGTGAATACACTGATTTATTACAAGTTATTGATAATTTTTACAAGGTTGGGACTGGGCTGTTCTTATAGCGATCAGCTCGTGCACGTATGGGCTGGATGCGGTTGTGGTGTCGAACAGCAATTCTCGGGCTAGGTAGTGGTGGTGGTAGTGCCACCTAGTGAGTGTGTGTGGTAGCGGTGGTGGTGGTGGTAGGGGTAGTGCCACCTAGTGAGTGTGGGTGGTAGTGGTGGTGGTGGTAGTGCCACCTAGTGTGAGTGTGTGGTAGTGTGGGTGGTAGTGGTGGTGGTGGTGTGATAGGCCCACCTAGTGAGTGTGGAGGTGGTGGGTGGTAGTGGTGGTGGTGGATAGTACCACCTAGTGAGTGTGGAGTGCCACCTAGTGAGTGTGGGGTGGTAGTGGTGGTGGTGGACTAGGGAGTGTGTGGGTGTGGTGGTAGGGTGGTTGGTGGTGGTGTGGGTGGTGGTGGTGGAGACCACCCGGGTGGTAGTGGGTGGTGGTGGTAGTGCCCAGTGAGTGTGGGGTGGTGGTGGTGGTGCCACCTAGTGAGTGTGGTGGTGTGGTGGTGGTAGTGCCACCTAGTGATTGTGGGTGGTAGTGGTAGTAGTGTGGGTGGGTGGTGTGGTGGTGGTGGGTAGCACTGGAGTGTGGGTGGTGGTGGTGGTGGTGTGGGTGGTGGTAGTGGTGGTAGTGTGGGTGGTGGTGGTGGTAGTGGTGTGCCATCTAGTGAGTGTAGGTGGTGGTGGTGGTAGTAGTGTGGGTGGTGGTGGTGGTAGACAGAGTGAGTGTAGGTAGTGGTTGTAGTGGGTGGTGGTAGTGGTGAGTAAGGCCATCTAGTGAGTGTAGGTAGGTGGTGGTGGTGGTGGTGGTGGTAGCCACCGAGTGAGTGGTGGTAGTGTGTGGTGGTGTAGTGGTAGTGCCATCCAGTGAGTGTAGGTAGTGGTGGTAGTAGTGTGGTGGTGGTGGTGGTGGTGGTGTGCCACTGAGTGAGTGTAGGTGGTAGGTGGTAGTGTGGTGTGTAGCCATCTAGTGAGTGGTGAGTGGTAGTAGTGGGTGGTGGTGGTAGGTAGTGCCACCGAGTGAGTATGGTTGGCACTTAGCGTCACCTTGATGGATAAGTCGGGTGTTAGTGAGTGTGTGGCCTTGTTACTTCAGGGTCATGCTGGGGATGGCTGATAGTAGTAGTAGTAGTAAGTAGTAGCAGTAAGTAGGAGTAGTAGTAGTAGTAGTAGTAGAAGAAGTAATATGCGTTGAATACATTTACAGGCATGTACAGTGTGTGTGTGTGTGTTATAGATTTATAAAGGGTGATTCTCATTACTATATGACCTCAGTATGATACAATATGGATGATTCATACATATATTACTATACAGTACATTATAACACAACTTATTTATTTATTTTCCTTCCTTCTCAGTAAGGAATCGTGAGCTCGGATTCAGATTCGGATTTGAACACCTACGCACTGTGACGTCACATTGAGTTCAAGGCGTAAGTGTAAAAAATAAAACCTTAGCAACTCTATTTCTCTTATGTTTGTATGATAGTTTTTACACATAATTGGTGATGTGAGGACGTATCTAGCTGACTCAACTGTCATCCAAAATGACGTAAATAATAATCTGAGACTAGTTAATACCTTCATTCCCCTCTAAGGTCGAGAAAAGTATCGCACCGCAAATACCTATATCATACATGTGGCAGCGAGGTGGTGTTTACATTCCGTAACTTGTTGAATTACTGTAAAGATTGACTTATCACATTTGTGGATTTTTCTCTTTTTTATGTGAGATGTTATGATTGGCTGCACACACACACCAGCAAACACACACACACCATAGTTACAACATGGCGGTGGTGTAAACTGTCTTCAGATAGTGTACACAGTGATTTTCAACCTTTTTCATCTCACGGCACAGTGAGCCAGGCACTAAAATGGTCGAGGCACATCAGTATAAGGATAGATTAGATCATTTAAAAGAATTAAGGAGATAATTTAAAACTGCCATTTGGGCTAACAATGAACAACACATTTGTTTATTTATTGCATCATTGAAAAAAAGGAGTTAATGCGCTCCATAAAGGTACCAGTAATGTCAAAACATATCCAAATGCTATTTTAACTCCCGCGGCACAACTACGGATGCTTCGCGGCACATTGGTTGAAAATCGCTGTACTGTACAGGAAGACGGCATTAAAGCTGTAGTAATAATAATAATAATAATAATAATAATAAACGGTTTATTAATAGAGTTGCAGCCGGTGGCTGAAAATATACAGACTTACATTTGATTTAGACATAATGATATAATATAGTTGAATACATTTACAGGGCTGTACAGAACATAAATCAGGAGTTGTTTATTATTTTAACAATAGATGGGATGGTGCTTATATCTATCGGTGCGGGCTCTTATGGGCTGAATTTGTTGTAGGGCGGACTGCGCGAGTTGGGTGGGGCTGCATGTGGCAGGAGGTATGATGAGGGTTGCAGTATCCACGGCCAAACCTTTCAGTGCTTGGTGGAGGTCACTGAGGGATGGCATTTCCAGGGTGGAGAGAGCGGTGTAGCCGGAGTATTCTGCGCCGAGCATGATTCTGCAGGCCCTTTCTGTACCTTTTCTAGCTGACGTTGTTGGGTGGAGTTGAGAGAAGACGACCAGGCTGGTGACGCATACGTTAGAATGGGGAGAATAAAAGGTGCTAGATGGTCCTCAGCTCTGGCGTGGGTGTCCAAGTGACCTAAGTTCGTAGCATGTAGAAACGGTACGAGGCTGCCTTGACTGTGTTATTTACATGGGCCTTCCAGTCAAGTTTGTTGTCTATAGTTACACCCAGGAGTTTGGCAGACTACACCAGCTGGAGAGGATGGGCACCCACTGTGACTGCTGGGGCTTGCACTGGAGTGGTGGCGGTATTGATGTGCATGACTACGGTTTGTGTGGTTGATGGTGACCTTTTCTCTATAATAATAATAATAATAATAATAATAATGATAATGATTCACGGTTCTATGTCCCCACGCACAACGCTTCCGTGACGCCTGTTGACCACCACTCACGACCCCTGACGAGAACGATGATCCTCCCCATACTGGCCAGATATTATGTAAATAACATTGATTATGTGTTAAAGGAATATCCTTCCTTCCTTCCTTAGGCTTTAGTAAGCCCCTTTATAATATTTATACTGTATATACTTGTGCCACTTGCCAGATGCTTCTGGTGTTATTGTACCTAGTGACAGCACTAGGATCCCGCTTCCTCTATCAAGGAATAAACAATTGAAATTGAATTGAATTAACGGTTTATTGAAAAAGTTCTGCAGCCCAAAGGCTGAAAATATACATTAAACAAAAATGACTTATTGCATACAAAGACATGGGTGGGATCGTTTAACAAAAGCTTTCATTACTGAAAGAAAAAGAAACATGAATTGAACATCCAATTATTATAGTTTACAGTTGATGCCGGGCTGGTTACGAGACACCAGATGGTGTGGTGTTCACGTGGTGTAGTAACTCGTCCTCGGTGTTGATATGAAGGACCTCACGTGGTCATAGACACTGGGTGGTGTGGTGTTCACGTGGTGTAGTAACTCGTCCGGGTGTTGATATGAAGGACCTCACGTGGTCATAGGGACACTGGGTGGTGTGGTGTCCACGGTGTGTAACTCGTCCCCGGTGTTGATATGAAGGACCTCACGTGGTCATGGGGACACCGGTGGTGTGGGGTGGTGTTACAGCCTCACTCTGCTTGGTGTTGTGTTATCTGGCAGTCAGGTTCATAGCCAGCTCACTGTTGTTCCCAGGGTGGACTGGTTAGCACCTCCTGGTCAGAAGGTGCAGTTCCCAGAGATGCTTATCTCACTGGTGGGTCACTGGTACTGTCTAGTGCTGAATACTCTGGTTTAAACACTGTTCATCACTGGTGTGTGTGTGTGTGTGTGTGTGTGTGTGTGTGAATTTTCTATTGCTATGTCGTTCCTCCTCCTGCTCCTCTTCCTTCTCCAACTCCTCCTCCTCCTCCTTCTCCTCCTCCTCCTCCTTCTCCTCCTACACAAACAATATGAAGAGGTGACCCTTGAGTGTGTCCTCTGATCAGACCTTGAGGTCCTCTGACCTGACCCTTGAATGTCCACTGACTGTGACCCTTGAGTGTCCTCTGACTGTGATCCTTGAGTGTGTCCTCTGGATCTGACCCTTGAGTGTGTCCTCTGACTGTGATCCTTGAGTGTGTCCTCTGACTGGATCCTGAGGTCCTCTGACTGTGACCCTTGAGTGTGTCCTCTGACCCTGGTGTCCCTTGATCTGATCCTGAGTGTGTCCTCTGACTGTGACCCTTGAGGTCTCACTGTGACCCTGAGTGTGTCTCTGACTGTGACCTGAGTGTGTCCTCTGACTCTGATCTTGAGGTGTCCTGATGATCCTGAGTGTGTCCCTGACTGCACCCTTGAGTGTCCTCTGACTGTGATCCTTGAGTGTGTCCTCTGACTGTGATCCTTGAGTGTGTCCTCTGACTGTGACCCTTGAGGCCTGTATCCTTGAGTTCTCTGTCTGTGACCTGAGTGTGTCCTCTGACTGTAACCTTGAGGTGTCCTGACTGTGACCCTGAGTGTCCTCTGACTGTGATCCTTGAGTGTGTCTCTGACTGTGATCCTGAGTGTGTCCTGTCTGTGACCCTTGAGTGTGTCCGCCTGAGTGTGACCCTTGAGGTGCTCTGACTGTGATCCTGAGTGTGTCCTCTGACTGTGATCCTTGAGTGTGTCCTCGCTGTGACCCTTGAGTGTGTCCTCATTCTGACCCTGAGTGTGTCCTGACTGTGACCCTTGAGTGTGTCCTCTGATCTGACCTTGAGGTGTCCTCTGACCCTTGAGTCTGACTGATCCTTGAGTGTGTCTCTGACTGTGATCCTTGAGTGTGTCCTCTGACTGTGATCCTGAGCTGTGACCCTTGAGTGTGTCCTGACTGTGACCCTTGATGTCCTGACTGACCCTTGAGGTGTCCTCTGACTGTGATCCTGAGTGTGTCCTCTGACCTGACCCTTGAGTGTGTCCTGACTGTGACCTTGAGTGTGTCCTGTCCTGATCCTGAGGTGTCTCTGACTGTGACCCCTTGAGTGTGTCCTCTGTCTGTGATCCTTGAGTGTGTCCTCTGACTGTGACCTTGAGTGTGTCCTCTGACTGTGACCCTGAGTGTGTCCTCTGTCTGTGATCCTTGAGGTGTCTCTGACTGTGACCCTGAGGTGTCTCTGGCTCAGATCCTTGAGTGTGTCCTCTGACTGTGACCTGAGTGTGTCCTCTGACTGTGATCCTGAGTGTGTCCCTGCCGTCTGATCTGTGACTCTGAGGTGTCCTCTGATCTGGACCCTTGAGGTGTCCTCTGACGTGACCTTGAGTGTGTCCTCTGTCTGTGACCCTTGAGTGTGTCTCTGACTGTGACCCTTGAGTGTTCCATCAGGATCCTTGAGTGTGTCCTCTGATCTGACCCTTGAGTGTCCTCTGACTGTGACCCTTGAGTGTGTCCTCTGACTGGATCCTTGAGTGTGTCCTTAGACCCTGAGGTCTCTGACTGTGATCCTTGAGTGTCCCTGACTGTGATCCTGAGTGTGTCCTCTGACTGTGATCCTGGAGTGTGTCCTCTGACTGTGATCCTGAGTGTGTCCTGACTGTGACCCTGAGGTGTCCTCTGACTGTGACCCTTGAGTGTGTCCCTCTGACTGTGATCCTTGAGTGTGTCTCCGATCGCCCTTGAGTGTGTCCTCTGACTGTGACCCTTGAGGTGTCCTCTGACTGTGACCTTGAGGTGTCCTCTGACCAGACCCTTGAGGCCCTCTGTTCAGATCCTGAGGTGTCCTCTGACTGGATCCTGAGTGTGTCCTCTGACTGACCTTGAGTGTGTCCTCTGACCAGACCCTGAGTGTCCTCTGATCGACCCTTGAGGTCCTGCTGATCCTGAGGTGTCCTCTGATCTGTGACCCTTGAGTGTGTCCTGACTGTGATCCTGAGTGTGTCCTCTGACTTGATCCTGAGTGTCCTCTGACAGGATCCTGGAGTGTCCTGACTGTGATCCTATGTGTCTCTGACTGTGACCCTGAGGTGTCCTCTCTGACTGCACCCTTGAGTGTGTCCTCTGACTGTGACCCCTTGAGTTCCTGACTGTGACCCTTGGAGGTGTCCTCTGTCCAGATCCTTTGTGTCCTCTGATCTGATCCTTGAGTGTCCTCTGATCTGACCCTTGAGGAGTCCTCTGATCAGGACCTTGAGGTCTCTGACTGTGACCCTTGAGTGTGTCCTCTGACTGTGATCCTGAGTGTGTCCTCTGATCTGACCCTTGAGTGTGTCCTGATGTGACCCTTGAGGTCTCTGCTGACCCTATGTGTCTGACCCTGAGGTCCTCTGATGACCTTGAGTGCACTGACCTGCCGACTGTGACCCTTGAGGTGTCCTCTACCTGGTCTGACTCCTGAGTGTGTCCTCTGTCTGTGATCCTTGAGTGTGTCCACTGACTGTGACCTTGAGTGTGTCCTCTGATCTGTGATCCTGAGTGTGTCCACTGACTGTGACGAGTGTCTCTGATCCTTGAGTGGTCCTCTGACTCTGATCCTTGGAGTGTGTCCACTGATCTGACCTTGGTGTCCTCTGATCTGACCCTGAGTGTGTCCTGTCTCGGATCCTGAGGTGTTCCACTGACTGTGACCTTGAGTGTCCTCCTGATCAGACCTTGAGTGTGTCCTCTGACTGTGATCCTGAGTGTGTCCCACTGACTGTGACCCTTGAGTGCCTCCTGACTTGACCCTTGAGGAGTCCTCTGATCTGACCCTGAGGTGTCCTCTGACTTCTTGAGTGGTCCTCTGATGCCCTTTGAGTGTGTCGTCTGGCTGTGACCCTGAGTGTGTCCTGGATCAGATCCTGAGGTGTCCTCTGACTGTGACCCTTGAGGACCTGACTGTGACTTGAGTGTGTCCTGACTGTGACCTTGAGTGTGTCTCTGATCAGATCCTTGAGTGTGTCCTCTGACCGACTTGAGGTGTCCTCTGACTGTGACCCCTTGAGTGTGTCCTGACTGTGATCCTTGAGTGTGTCCTCTGACTGTGATCCTGAGGTGTGTCCTCTGACTGTGACCCTGAGTGTATCCTCTGTCTGTGATCCTGAGTGTGTCCTCTGATCAGACCCAGGTATCCTCTGACTACCTTGGTGTGTCCTGACTGTGACTTGGAGGTGTCCTCTGACTGTGACCTTGAGGTGTGTCCTCTGTCTGTGATCCTTGAGTGTCCCTGACAGATCCTTGAGTGTCCTGATCTGACCTGAGTGAGTCCTCTGACTGTGACCTTGAGGTCCTGACTGTGACCCCTGAGGGCTTGACTGTGATCCTATGTGTCCCCTGATCAGACCCTTGAGTGTGTCCTGATCTGACCCTTGAGGTGTCCTCTGATCTGACCCTTGAGTGTCCTTGTCTTAACCTTGAGTAGTCTCCTGACTGGACCTTATGTCCTCTGTCTGTGACTAGTCCTTGATCCTTGAGTGTCCTCTGACTGTGACCCTGAGTGTGTCCTCTGTCTGTGACCTTGAGGTCCTCTGATCAGATCCTTGAGTGTGTCCTCTGTCTGTGACCCTGAGTGTGTCCTCTGATCAGGATCCTTGAGGTGTCCTCTGTCTTGACCCTTGAGTGTGTCCTCTGACTGTGACCCTTGAGTGTGTCCTCTGACTGACCCTGAGTGTGTCCTCTGTCTGTGATCCTTGAGTGTGTCCTCACCTGATCCTGAGTGTGTCCTGTCTGTGGCCCTTATGTGTCCTCTGACTGTGATCCTGAGTGTGTCCTCTGATCTGACCCTGAGTGTGTCCTCTGACTGTGACCCTTGAGTGTGTCCTCTGACTGTGATCCTTGAGTGTGTCTCTGACGATCCCTGAGTGTCCTCTGACCTGATCCTTGAGTGTGTCCTCTGACTGTGACCTTGAGTGTCTATCACCCTGAGTCTGTCAGACCTTGAGGTGTCCTCTGTCTGTGATCCTTGAGGTGTCCTCTGACTGTGATCCTTGAGTGTGTTCTCTGACTGACCTCTGAGGTGTCTCTGTCCAGGATCCTGAGTGTGTCCTCTGACTGTGATCCTTGAGTGTGTCCTCTGACTGTGATCCTTGAGTGTTCCCTGACCACTGAGTGTGTCCTCTGATGTGACCTTGGTGTGTCCTCTGACCAGATCCTGAGTGTCCTCTGACTGTGACCCCTGAGATCCTGACTGTGATCCTGAGGCCTCTGGATCCTGGTGTCCTGACTGATCCTTGAGTGTGTCCTCTGACTGTGATCCTTGAGGTGTCCTGACTGTGACCCTTGAGTGTGTCCTCTGACTGTGACCCTGAGTGTGTCCTCTGACTGTGATCCTGAGTGTCCCTCTGTCCTGACCTTGAGTGTCCTCTGACTGTGACCTTGAGTGTGTCCTCTGACTGTGATCCCGAGTGTCCTCTGACTGTGATCCTTGAGTGTGTCCTCTGATCTGGACCTGAGTGTGTCCTCTGACTGTAACCCTGAGGTGTCCTCTGACTGTGATCCTGGAGGCCCTCCCACTGATCCTTGAGGTGTCCCTGGACAGGATCCTGAGTGTGTCCTCTGACCGATCCCTTGAGTGTCCTTCACTGCACCCTTGAGGTGTCCTCTGACTGTGATCCCTGGAGTGTGTCCTCTGACTGTGATCCTTGAGTGTGTCCTCTGACTGTGATCTTGAGTGTGTCCTCTGATCTGACCCTTGAGGTCTCTGACTCTCAGATCCTGAGTGTGTCCTCTGACTGTGACCCTTGAGTGTGTCCTGACCGATCCTGAGGTGTCCTGATCAGGACCTTGAGGTCTCGTCTGTGACGATCCTGAGTGTCCTCTGATCTGACCCTGAGTGTCCTCTGACTGTGATCCTTGAGGTGTCATCTGACTGGATCCTTGAGGTTGTCTCTGACTGTGATCCTGAGGTGTCCTCTGATCAGGATCCTTGAGTGTCCTCTGACTGTGATCCTTGAGTGTGTCCTCTGACCAGATCCTGAGTGTGTCCTCTGATCAGATCCTGAGTGTGTCCTCTGATCTGATCCTGAGTGTGTCCTCTGACTGTGATCCTGAGTGTGTGTCCCTCTGACTGTGACCCTGAGTGTGTCCTCTGATCAGATCCTTGAGTGTGTCCTCTGACCGATCCTGAGTCTGTCTCTGATCAGACCCTGAGTGCCCTGACTGTGATCCTTGAGTGTGTCCCTCTCTGATCAGATCCTGAGGTGGCCCTCTGACTTGACCTTGAGGTCCCTGACTCAGACCCCAGAGTGTGTCCTCTGACTGTGATCTTGGTGTGTCCTGACTGCACCCTGAGGCTCCCTCTGATCAGATCCTGAGGTCCTGACTGTGATCCTGAGTGTTCATCTGACTGTGATCCTTGAGTGTGTCCTCTGATCTGATCCTTGAGTGTGTCCTGACTGTGATCCCTTGAATGTGTCCTCTGTTCAGATCCTGAGTGTGTCCTGACTGTGATCCTTGAGTGTGTCCTGACTGTGACCCTGAGTGTCCTCTGACTGTGATCCTGAGTGTGTCCTCTGACTGTGATCCTTGAGTGTGTCCTCTGACTGTGATCCTGAGGTCCTCTGACGTGATCCTGAGTGTGTCCTCTGACTGTGATCCTGAGTGTCCTCTGTCTGTGACCTTGAGTGTGTCTGACTGTGATCCTTGAGGTGTCCTCTGGACTGTGATCCCTGAGCAGTCCTGACGTGATCCTGAGTGTGTCCCTGACTGTGACCCTGAGTGTCCTCTGACTGTGATCCTGAGTGTGCTCTGATCAGGATCCTTGAGGTGTCCTCTGACTGCATCCTTGAGTGCCCCACTGGATCCTGAGTGTGTCTCTGACTGTGATCCTCGAGTGTGTCCTCTGTCTGATCCTTGAGTGTGTCTCTGTCCAGACCTGAGGTGTCCTCTGACTGTGACCTTGAGGTCCTCTGACTGTGATCCTTGAGTGTGTCTCTGACTGTGACCTTGAGTGTGTCTCACGTGACCTGAGTGTGTCCTGACTGTGATCCTGAGTGTGTCTCTGGCTGTGATCCTGAGGTCCTCTGGGTTCAGACCCTTGAGTGTGTCCTCTGATCAGACTCGAGGTGTCCTGACTGTGACTCTGAGTGTGTCCTGACTGCAGACCTTGAGTGTGTCCTCTGACTGTGATCATGAGTGTGTCCTGACTGTGACCTTGAGTGTCTCTGACTGTGACCTGAGTGTCCCTGACTAGAACCTTGAGTGTCCTGATCAGGATCCTGAGTGTGTCCCTGACTGTGATCCTGAGTGACCCTTGAGTATGACCCTGAGTTTGATCTCTCTGACCCTGAGAGACTCCTGAGTGGGTCTTGAGGTGTCCTCTGAGGTGTCCTGAGGACCTTGAGGACCTTGAGTGTGTCTCTGAGGTCCTCTGAGGTGTCTCGAGTGTGTCCTGAGTGTCCTTGAGGATGATCTTGAGTGTGTCCTCTGAGTGTGACCTCTGAGTGTGTCCTCTGAGTGTGACCTTTGAGTATGATCCTTGAGTGTGTCCTCTGAGTGTGTCCTCTGAGTGTGTCCTCTGAGTGTAACCTGAATATGACAATAATAGCAACAAAAAAAAACATCGCGGACAAAATCGGACCGAAGACAAATCTGTTTGTGTAATCCGATCTGCTTGACCCGATTTCACTTCTGTGACAATTAACCCAGATTGCCATTGCAACTTTCCTGAAACCTGATTTGATGGATGGGTTAATGTGTCCAGATTTCACTCAGTGTGTTAAAGGAATCAGATTTTATCACGAAGATTAAGAATTGCTTAGAGTAAATCGGGTTTATGGAATAGACCAGATTTTCTCGTGTTTCTGGAATCTGATTTATCTGAAGTTATGGAAATCGTTTTGTAACTAGGATCAATGAACTCGATTTCTGTCTGTGTATATTCTGTCTTAGGTGGAAAACAACAAAACAACAAAAAATAATAATAATAATAATAATAATAATAATACAAAATAAAACAATACAATAATAATAATAATAGCAATAATAAAATAATAGTAACAATAATAACAATAACTGCAAATAACAACATCTCATTTGTATAATACAACACTTGGCACTGTTGTATAATATAGTAAGGGCTAACAGTACTCACTGCTGTTCTTCTGTTAGGCAGGTTCTGTTGGGGTCTGTTGTCCGTCTGTGTGTCGTCTGACCAGTAACAGGGAACACTGTTTACCTGGGGGGAGAGAGGAAGGAAGAGGAGGAGGTGGAAGGAAGAGGAGGGGGGGGGGTAGGGGAGGAGGGAGGGTAGGGGAGGAAGACGAGGAGGTGGAGTGGGAGGGGTGGGGGGGGAGGGGAAGAGGTGGAGGGAGGAGGAGAGGGTAGCAGGGGGGAGGAAGAGGAGGAGGGTGGAGGTGGGGAGAGCAGGGAGGTGGAGGAGGTGGAGTGGGAGGAGGGGGGGGAGAAGGGGAGGAGGGTGGGAAGGGGGGTGGAGTGGGAGGAGGGTAGCAGGGGGGAGGGAAGGGTGGAGGGGTGGAGTGGGGAGGGTGGCAGGGGGGAGGGAAGAGAGGGAGGAGGGGGGTGGAGTGGGGGAGGGTGAGGGGGGGAGGGAGGAAGGGAGGAGGGTGGGAAGGGTGGAGGGGAGGTAGCAGAGGGGAGGAAGAGAGGTGGAGAGGGTGGAGTGAGAGGGTAGCAGGGGGGAGGAAGAGGGTGGAGGGGGTGGAGTGAGAGGGTAGCAGGGGGAGGGAGAGGTGGAGGTGGAGGAGGGAGGGTAGCAGGGGGGGGAGGAAGGGTGGAGAGGGGTGGGGTAGCAGGGGGGGGAGGAAGAGGTGGAGGGAGTGGGTGGGAGGAGCAGGGGGAGGAAGAGGAGGAGGGTGGAATGGGGAGGGGTGTAGGGGAGAAGAGGAGGAGGGGGAGGGGAGGGAGGGTAGCAGGGGGAGGAAAGAGGGAGGGGTGGAGTGGGAGGTAGCAGGGGGAGGAAGAGGAGGAGGGTGGAATGGGGAGGAGTAGCAGGGGAGGAAGAGGAGGAGGTGGAATGGGAGGGAGTAGCAGGGGAGGAAGAGGAGGGAGGTGTGGAGTGGGAGGGTGGCAGGGGGGAGGAGAGGGAGGGTGGAATGGGAGGAGTAGCAGGGGAGGAAGAGGGAGGAGGGTGGAGTGGGGAGGGTAGCAGGGGGGGAGGGAAGAGGAGGAGGGTGGAGTGGGAGGGGGTGGCAGGGGGAGGGGAGAGAGGGAGGAGGGGTGGAGGGGGAGGGTGGCAGGGGGGAGGGAAGGAGGGAGGGGGTGGAAATGGGAGGTAGCAGGGGAGGAAGAGGAGGAGGGTGGGAATGGGAGGGTAGCAGGGGGAGGGAAGAGGAGGAGGGGTGGAGTGGGAGGGTAGCAGGGGAGGAAAAGGAGGAGGGGAATGGGGAGGGTAGCAGGGGAGGAAGAGGAGGGAGGGAGGGGTGGGAGGTAGCAGGGGAGGAAGAGGGAGGAGGGTGGAGGGGAGGGTAGCAGGGGGGAGGGGAAGAGGTGGAGGGTGGAGGGGAGGGTAGCAGGGGGAGGGAAGGGTGGAGGTGTGGAGGGGAGGGAGGAGGGGAGGAGAGGGAGGAGGGGTGGAGGTGGGAGGAGTGGCAGGGGGAGGAAGAGGGAGGGGTGGGTGGAGGGTAGCAGGGGAGGAAGAGGGAGGTGTGGAATGGGAGGGTGGCAGGGGGAGGAGAGGAGGGAGGAGGGAGGGAGGGGAGGGGTAGCAGGGGGGGGGAGGAAGAGGAGGAGGTGTGGAGGGGAGGGTGGGAGGGGGAGGAAGGGTGGAGGGGGTGGAGGGGAGGGTAGCAGGGGGGAGGGAGGTGGAGGGGTGGAGGGGGAGGGTAGCAGGGGGAGGGAAGAGGAGGGAGGGGTGGAGGGGAGGGTGAGGGGGGGAGGAGGGTGGAGGGGGTGGGGGGAGGGTAGCAGGGGAGGAAGAGGAGGGAGGGAGTGGAGTGGGAGGGTAGCAGGGGAGGAAGAGGTGGAGGGAGTGGGAGGGAGTAGCAGGAGGAAGAGGAGGGGTAGGTGGGAGTAGCAGGGGAGGAAAGAGGTGGAAGGGGTGGAGGGGAGGGTAGGGGAGGAAGAGGTGGAGGGTGGAGTGGGAGGGTAGCAGGGAGGAAGGAGGTGGAGGTGTGGAGTGGGAGGGGGTGCAGGGGAGGAAGAGGAGGAGGGGGTGGAGTGGGAGGGTGGCAGGGGGGAGGAAGAGGGAGGGGGTGGAGTGGGGAGGGTAGCAGGGGAGGAAGAGGTGGAGGGAGTGGAGTGGGAGGGTGGCAGGGGGGAGGAAGAGGAGGGAGGGAGGTGGAGTGGGAGGGTAGCAGGGGGGGAGGAAGAGGTGGAGGGAGTGGAGGGGAGGGTAGCAGGGGGAGGAAGAGGAGGAGGGGAGTGGAGTGGGAGGGTAGCAGGGGGGAGGAGAAGAGGTGGAGGGGTGGAGGGGGGAGGGTAGCAGGGGAGGAGAAGAGGTGGGAGGGGGAGTGGAGTGGGAGGAGTAGCAGGGGAGGAAGAGGGAGGAGGGAGTGGAGGGGAGGAGGGTGCGGGGGAGGAAGAGGTGGAGGGGGGTGGAGTGGGGAGGGTAGCAGGGGAGGAAGAGGTGGAGGTGGAGTGGGGAGGGTGTGGGGGGGGAGGGAAGGGGGTGGAGGTGGAGTGGAGGTGAGGGGAGGAAGAGGTGGAGGTGTGGGTGGGGAGGGTAGCAGGGGAGGAAGAAGGAGGGTGGAGTGGGAGGTGGCAGGGGGGGAGGAAGAGGTGGAGGGGGAGGGGGAGGGAGTAGCAGGGGAGGAAGAGGAGGAGGTGGAGTGGGAGGGAGTAGGGGGGGAGGAAGAGGGTGGAGGGGTGGAGGGGAGGGGTAGCAGGGGAGGAGAAGAGGAGGGGGTGGAGGGGAGGGTAGCAGGGGGAGGAAGAGGTGGAGGGGTGGGTGGGGAGGTGGCAGGGGGGAGGGAGAGAGGGGAGGGAGGAGGAGTGGGTGGGAGGGTAGCAGGGGGAGGAAGAGGAGGAGGGGGTGGGAGGGGAGGTAGCAGGAGGAAGGGTGGAGGGAGGGGAGTGGGAGGGTAGCAGGGGAGGAAGAGGTGGAGGGTGGAGTGGGAGGAGGAGGAGGGGGGAGGGAAGAGGAGGAGTGGAGTGGGAGGGTAGCAGGGAGGGAAGAGGAGGAGGGAGTGGGTGGGGAGGGTGGGGAGGAGAGGTGGAGGGGGTGGAGTGGGAGGGTGAGGGGGGGGAGGAAGGTGGAGGGGTGGAGTGGGAGGGAGTAGCAGGGGGAGGGAGGAGGGTGGAGGGGGGGTAGCAGGGGAGGAAGAGGAGGAGGGGTGGGAGAGAGGGGTAGCGGGGGTTGGAAGAGGTGGGTATTCCTTGTAAACGATTATACTCAGGCAAGAAATAAGTAATATCTCATATACACTAATGTATGCTTTCAAGCCTCTCATTCACATAAACACTCCACGACACACTTGTAACACACACTCTTGTACACACGACACACTTGTATACACACACACACACACACACACACACACACACACACACACACACACACACTTGTAACACACACATTTGACTCACAGACACACTTGTAAACACACGCACTTGTACACGCACACACACACACTTGTACAGACACACACACACACTTGTACACCTCCCCGCTGAAATTAGCACATCCTGACACCCCCTCCCTAGTGTACACCCATTACAGTACACTCGCTGTAACAGACTGTACTGTACTGTACTGCCGTTACAGAGGCGTGTACACAGTGTCGGTACCCCTGTGGTCGTTGTGGCTAGGCTATCAGGTATATAGTTTCCAAAGCCTTGAGGAACGGGTTCGTCCCTTGAAATACTGAAACAAAGAGGCAGGAAATTACTCTGTAGTGTTCGATCGTGTTACTGAGAACAACAGGTATAAAGAGGAGTGAAAATTGTGTATTAAATCTGAATGGAGAACAGAGGTAATGAAGGATGATGAATGATTAAAGATACAAGCTTGAATAATTATCATATGAATAAAAAATAATCTAGTTCTTTATTTATTGGGACGAGAGAAAAAATGTCAAACTTGCCTACGATCTTTTTATTGTCATTTCCAGACACTAACCAGTACCAAATTACATAAAACAATTAATATATTATAAACTGCTAATACATCCACATCCCCGTATGGTTAAAAAATGTATAATGAAGTGAAAATACCTCCAGATACCACGAGAGGACAAGTGTGTGTGTGTGTGTGTGTGTGTGTGTTGTTGTGTGTGTGTGTGTGTGTGTGTGTTTGTGTGTGTGTGTGTGTGTCGATCAGCTGTTATGGTTGTGTTGGCGTTCGTGACAAGTTTGTTTATATCCGGCAGAATCCACGTGTGTTTTTGTTTACATAGCTTGTCCATAGTGCTCGAGGTGAGGGCGTCGGTACTTTAAAACTGTCTTGTGGGGGAGAGTGGGTCGGTGGGGTGGATGGGTGGGTCGGTGGGGTGGGAGGGTGGATGAGTGGGTCGGTGGGGTGGGCGAGTGGTTTGGTGTTATCGTTGTGGAGGGAGAGGGAGAAGAGAAGGAAGGAAAGTGGTGTAGGGAAAATGAGAGATGAGAGGGAGAGAATGTTGTGAGAGAGGGAGGAAGGGTGCGTGGAGGAATGAAGGAGGGTGAGTTT